GTGCATGTAGAATCAGGGACCCTGCCTGTGCCATGCTAAAACAAAGAACCCACTGGCATATGCCAAAAATCAAAGTCCCCTGTTGCATGTCAGGAATCAGAGGCTCCCTGTGTCTATGCTGAGAATTGAGTATCAGAGTCTCTGTTGCTTAGTGAGGCCTCGTACCAAGAATCAGGGTCCCTGTGTGAACATGTGCCAAGAATTGGAGTCGCTGGCTCTTAGTGTGAATGTACTGGGAATTGGATTCCAGGCACACATAATGAGAAACAGAGTCTAGTCACTGGTGTTCATTGCTGCCTCTTGCGGTGGAGATGCAACGTCCCTGTTCTGCTTGGGAGACTGGGTTTCACAGTTGAACTGTGTTGGCAGGAGGTCTACTCCTGCCCTGCAGAAAACAGCCTTCTATGTTCACTTGCCCTGAATCAAAGTCAGGTGGCACTGTCACCCAGTGAGGGTGTGAAGTCTGGTCACAAACTCCCTGTGTCCATGTACCCAGGCTTGAATTCAGCACTGCCTACCCCCCCTCCCCTTCACCCCTGTGTATGGGCACTGAGTCTAGTCATGGGAAACAAACTACCCGGTTTGTACCCCCAGGTTCAACATCAGCACTGTCTACCTGTGTGGGAGTGGGATCTGGCTGCAGAAAGAAAAAAAACAAACACACAAAACACACACACACACACACACACACACACACACAAATACCCCTCCCCAAGGTAGCTCACCTAGGCTCAAATTTAGCACAACCTCCCTGCCTTGCCTTGGAGTCTAGTTGCGGGAAACAAACTACCTGAGTTTGCATTTTCAGGTTCACATTCAGTTAAGCCTCCCTGGTTGGATGCAGGGTCTGGTCATGGGAAACAAACTCCCCAGGTTTTCACCCTCAGGCTCAACTTCAGTGCTGTCTCCCTGTGTGGGCGCAGGATCTGGACGCAGAAAACAATCTCCCCAAGGTTGTGCACCTAGGCTCAAATTCAGTACAGCCTCCCTGCCTGGGCGCAGAGCCTGGTCACAGGAAACACTTCCAGGGTCCACACAGCAAGGCTCAAATTCAGGTAGGGCTGCCGCTGCTGTGTGTGGGCAGAAAGCCTGACTGTGTGGCAGAGTTCTGGCAGATCCTATGCCACTGCCATGGGGCCCAAGGGGAGGAGGATTGGATTTGTGACTCAAGAAATCTGCAGCCGGAGTGCCTGGAGTCTTGGTGTCCCTGGGTCTGCAGCTGTGGTCTTAGGTTTTTTACCCGAGTTGCTGTAGTGTCTTGGTTTGCCACTGAGACCAGATTGGGTGGTGGCGAGGCTAGGAACTTAGTCCCAATAGGTCTGTTCTTCAAGATGGCATGGTCTCTGTGCAGCCGGTGTCCTCCCTGGAGTGTTTGCGGTGGCAGCGGGGTTTTGCCATCTAAAACTGCCCAGAAAGGCAGCCCCTTGGAAGACTTGCAGGATCTAACGATTCTTATTTCACTCACACACACAGCCACACACGCCCACACACTCCTCTATTGCTCCCTCCCTCTCTCACACACTCTCTCTCCCTACCTTCTTGCCAGTAACCATCTTAAAACGCCTTTCCCCAGATTCTGAGGACCATTTAGGAAGACATGACACTACAAATAGGGCAGTGCAGAAGACATTGCTGATACCTTTCCATTATGGAGTTCTAGCTTAATTCCATTGGGAGCTCTGCTGAGCTTGGCCTGGGAAGGGGATGGCTTTTGCTCAAAAGCTAAGGTGGCACCTGACAGTGTGGCAGCTGGAGGTTGTCAGCTAACTGTGCAATAGAACCAAATTTTCTTTTCTACTTTTGCCTTTTTATGCTGTACATTAGATTCTTGAAGGATACTAACTACTCAAAGTGACTCAAGCCAAAATAAAATCTGAATATACTTATAAAAGGAAAGAGGATAAATTAAAATAAAAACCTACAACCAAAGAAAAGTCCAGTACCAGATGGCTTCACTGGTGAAATCATTAAACATTTAAGGAATTAACAGCAATACTTTAAAAAACCAGGTGAGGAGGAAGTACTTTCTCATTCATTCCATGAGGTCAGGATCCTTCAAAGATATTACAAGAAAACAAACAAACAAACAAACAAACAAAAAACACTATAGACCAATATCCTTTATGAATACAGTAATAAAAATACTCACCAAAATAGTAGCAAATTGAATGTGGCAACTTATAAATACAAGTACATATGTGAGAAGTATGTACCCATATGTAAGTATAGCTATCTGGGATTTATACTAAAGTTCACTTATTGAATTACATCCCAATATCTGATATGTCCAAGGCCCTCAATGTATAATTTGTCAGTCATATGTCAGTTGAGTGTCCCCCATTCCTTGGTGACTTGGTGAAATTGGTGCAAAGTATCATTACACAGCATGGAAGACTTCACAGTCCTCCCCTCTGTTTCTAAGGGTTCCCCTTCCTTTCCCTCAGCCTCTCCTGTCTCCTCATTCCTGTGACAGTGTGCACTGTTTCTACTCCAGCCTGTGACTCTGAAAGCCCTAAAGGCACCATTTTTACTTTTTCTTAAAGAAACAAACACTGGTATTTATGCAGAACTATTAATACTCACCCATTTCTTTCTTTTTTAGTTTCAGAAACCTTACTGGAGATGCTGCAGAGTACAAGAATCAGCACCCAGTCTTCCTCTCTCATTTTGATGACTCTTCTCTTTGCTCTAAAGGTCATTCCAATATGGGTTCCTTCCTGGGCTCTTCACTAACAACTGTCTTTTCCCCCTCTAATTTTTAAGATGCTATTATTTGTGTATATGAGACCCTGTCCCTTAGTGATAAAAATGTCATGTTTTGTTAGACTGTCCAGTTTGGCTTAAAAAACAATGAATCAAAGCACCTTATTCTCCCACCTCCCCACTTTATATTGAAAGGCAGGAAAAGTCAATTTAACATTTTTATAAAATTTCTCACATATTGGAATATTGGATACATTGTAGACAAATATCAAGTGTGGACCAAAAAGCATTCATGTTACCCCCATCAGAGTTAAAAGAAGTCATATTTGTGCTTATTTCTGGTATCCATTTGTTTTCTTTGGCTATTTAAAAGACTGCATTCAAATCTCCTTGCTACGGGAAAAGGGCTGCTTCCTTTTGAATTTTCTCCAACTGGTTTTTCTAGCTGTTTACCTTCTGCTGCCTGTTATTTCAGTTGTCTGCTTCCTGTTTCTTTTTAATTCTTGATTTTTTCTTCCTTTATCTCACAGTCCCAGGATGTTGGCTGAGAAAAGCGGTTTTGTGCTGTGCTTCCTGTTTTGCAGCTTTTGGCCTCATCGTCCTTTGCCTTAGACTTTGCCCTTTCGGTTTCACATTCTGGGTGCCTTCTGGTGTGGCTTGAGATCAGAAACTTGTTTATTGTTCAGAGTTTTGGAGTTAAAGGTCATTCCAATATGGGTTCCTCACTAGGCACTTCACTAGCAACTGCTGGATAAGTGAAGAAGTTCATTAGAAATACTGTATGAAAATTTCTGCAGGGAAAAGCCACCATAATGCAGAACCTTTCACCTGTTATTAACACACTAGAGTCTTGGAGCATGACATTTGTTCAGTGGTGCATATGTCCCTCAGCCCAGCCGGCATCCTTTCCAATCCGGTACTCCTTGAGGGCAGTCGGACAACCCTCTCACAATTCAGGACTGCTGGCTCCCAACTGCTTGCCTGCCTGCTTTCCTGATCGCCTCTAATCACTTCTGCCTGCCAGCCTGATCACCCCTAACCACTCCCCTGTCAACCTGGTCACCCCTAACTGCCCTCCCTTGTTGGCCTAGTCACCCCCAACTGCCCTCCTCTGCTGGCCTGGACACCCCTAATGGTCTGGATGGCAGCCATAGTGAGGTGTGCCTGTCCCCTGGAATCCCTGGGTCCTCCTTCCTACATTCCCAATCACTTCAAGCACTGTCCCCTGGGGATTCTTTGAGCTCTATTCCTACCAAACCAAAAAAGCAATAATCAAGATGCAGTTTCATTGCTCACACTAGACACTTTGCTAGTCTTTTTTTCTCATTTTTTTTTTTCATCATTGACCATCTCCTTCATCAGCAAGAGTTTTCTTGCAAAAATATATTGACAAGTGGACCAAAGTCAAGATTCCCTATCAGTGCCTCTGCTGGAATCTGTGCAGAACCCTTGGACTAGAAGGCCCTTAGCAGCTGATGGAACACCGTGTCTCATCATTTGGTGCTGGCATTCCTCTTCGTGTTCCCAGTGGCTTCTGGGCAGGGCTTGTGGCCTCTTATTCCAATTTGTTCTCAGATATTGCATTTATTTTTTCCCTGTTACATGTCTTGTTCGCGATGGGAAGGCATCAAGGATCTGGGAATCTCTGTCTGAGAAGGCACCGGATGGAGGATATTATAGGGAAGAGATCTGGAATTACCCAGCAGTATTGAGTTTGTATATGAAGGTGAAGATGCTGGGACAGAGAATGTGTGGGTGGACACATGAGCCACACTAACCTGACTCATTTTACCTGGGTCAGAGTGGACTCTCCCAGGTCTTCATGGGACTCTTTTCCCCACCTTGTACCCCCAATACTCAATCTGCAAAGACCTGTTTGCCCTTCCTATTGAGATTGAAATAAAAATTTCCAAATCCCCTATTTTTTAATTTATTTATCCCTGAATTGAAAAACTTACTCTCACCCTATGAGTGTATCAGCCTGTGAGAAAACTCCTCTTTGGAAGTACACTTTCCACAGTGCCTCTGTGGCTCCTAGTGACTCAAGTCTCTGGTTAATGTTTTCTTGGACTTGTAGAAGACTCTGCATTCACACTGTGAAGGGGTCTGAATGGAGAAGGAGGGGGAGGTGTGCCTTCCTGGGACAGGTGGATAGTTCAGTGTTTTGTCTTCTTGTCACCCCAATGTGTGTACATTTGAGTGGGTGGTTTTTGCAGAAGGGGTTAAGAATGACAGAGCGGTATCTGTTCAATGGTCATATAAAGCAGATAAACAAACAACTACAAATACTGATTTCTGTTAATACACAACCAAAGCTTTATTCAGGCAATTCAATTGAAATAAGTGGGTCTGGACGGAGGCTTTGTGTTGGCTCTGCTCCTTGGTCTCCTGGGGCGACCAGGGATGATACCAGGATCTGGGACAGCAGCCTGAGGTCAGTGGAAAACAGGCAAGAGCAATACTTGTTGGGCTTCAGTAAGAAGAGCTCAGGAAGGGCCAGGTCCCATGGGCAGGTTTGGGAGGTGGATGGGAGCGGGCAGGATTTTTGTCTTTGGATTGGTAAGTTAATGCCAGTGAGGGACACAAGGAAAACCTATGGGCCCCGGAGGCACAGACTCCAGTAGAGAATGGTTCCAATTCCTACTTAAATAGTCATTCAGGACGGACCACGTCCAAGGCCTAGGACCAGTGTCTGGAGAGCAATACCCAAAGCAGGAACAGGATGCCCAGTAGTGTGGCTGTGCGCAGCTTCGCAGCCATCACCCACCCACACAGTCGGCCCAGCAGCCCTCGCTTTTGTCGCACCAACACGCGGTCTGCCAGCTTCTCTGCCACCAATCTCAGCTGCTCCTCGGGGCTGGAGAAGGCCAGCTCCTGCGCCAGGCGGTACACGTCGTTGGAGTAGGGGACACTCGCGTGTTCATGCACCAGGCGTTCTACCAGCAGCAGCAGCTCCTGCACCTGGGCCTCCAGTTCCCCACCCATCGCCTTGTTGTTGAAGGCGCACACACGGCCCCCGCACTCGGCCACCAGAGCCCGCAGTGCACGGTTGTCCGTGTCGTGCACGTACTCCTGCAGAGAGCCTCCAGCCAGGTCCTCCTTGCGTGTGAACAGCACGATGGTGCGCTTCACCACATTGTCCCCAAACAGGTCCTTGAGCGCGCTCACAGCCTGCTGGTCCTGTGCAGTGAAGCGGCCCAGCTGAGTCACCAGGAGCAGCGCGTGGGGGCCAGGAGCTGACAGCAAGTAGCAGCGGGCTCGCTCCTGGAACCCTGCGTCTGTCTTAGAGACCAGGGAGCTAAAAAGGTCCGGGGTGTCCATGACTTCTACATGCCATCTATCCCACCTGCAGCTCCCCACCTCACAGGTTCTGGTCACCGAGGTGGCTGAAAGTCTGGAGACGAAGCGCCTGTGGCCCAGGATGCTGTTCCCCGTGGCGCTCTTCCCAGCCCCTGTCTTCCCCACCAGGATGAGCCTCAGCCCGAGCTTCTGCAGGGCCTGTGTGGTGTCTCCAGAATCTAGAGGACAAGTGATCTGTGAGCTTCCAAACCTTAAAGCAACGTATCCTGGTTGACTGGACCCTGGTGCCCTTGGAAGAAGAACAGGGCCTCAACTCTGCTTTTCCAACCAAAGCCTTACTGAACTCAGGAGGATCTTCACCAAGTATCCCTGTCACTCTGGCCACACCATGTTCACCTGTAGATGCTCAACACCTGGGAGCCTTTCTCTAGGGGATCCCCTTCACCATTCCAGACATGACCTCACCTCCATTATCCCTGGTGGTCCACACCCTGCAAAGCTGTCCCTATTTGAGGCTTCAGTTGCATCTGCCATACTTCTCCCAGATTCCAACCCAGTGAAGAAGGTCAGGAAGGGGCAGCAACCTGGGGGTGAAGGGCTATCTGGAGTTCCAGACACTCGGTTTGAATCACAGTCCAGCTATCAGCCACCTGTGCCATCTTGGAAGGTACTTTAAGTTTTAAACCTTTGTTCAAAAATGGAAATAGTAGTATGGAGTTTCTTCTGAAGCATTGACAGGCGATTGGATAAGATCACCTCCCTCTTTCTTCCTTCACTCCCTCCTCTTTTTCCCCCTCCCTCTTAAACCTGCTACCTGCTAATGAAACACCTGTTTAACTTTCCATCCTGGTTCTCTAACATTCTACCTGGTAAGACACATTCCATCTATTGCATGATCTGATACCTTCTACATCCTTTTCCATGGAGATAAGAGTAGGTTTATTAACCTCATCTTATAGTTGGGGAATGGAGGCATAGTCTAGTCAAGTTCATATCTCCAAGATGGACAGGGGCAAAGACCAAGCTAAAATGCCTATCTCAGAGCTCTTGCTTTTTCACTTCAGACATCTCAGAGAGCCTTTTGGGGTTGTCTATCAGTTGAACTCACACTAGGGGTAAAGTATGCAGTGCATGTATTCTTACCATGGGCACTTTCTTCATCTCTTGCCATTTTTCGTCCTCCCATGTGTACCTGAAAAAGTCCCAAACACAATTTGTTTGTTTGTTCGTTCATTCGTTCATTCATTCATTCATTCATTCATTCATGCGTTCATTCCTTAAATAGATATAACAGCATATAGTGTGTCTAGCAAAATCCAAATATTTAGTGACACAATGGTGTCAAAATTGTGATTCCCATTTCCCCTGAATATCAGAATTGAGGGAAGAACTTTGGGGGAGGCCTGGGCTGGGTTTGGACTGATACTGTGAGAGGGTTTGGTGACCTTGGTTTTGCCTTTTCAGGGATGTCAAATGCAAAGGGTAGAGGGGAGATTGTAACACTCTATGTCAGTGAGAAAATTTTAGATATTAAATTTTCTAGTTAATTCTCTGTTAGTGATCAAAGCTATAAATACTAAGTCTTTTTAGGAGATTCAGCATCCAGGGGAGAATTTGGAAAACCATGAAAAGTGGAAAATTTGACAGAAACAAGGGAAACACTTAAGGTGGTTGACTTGGGAGAAGAGAATAGGAATTTTTGTTTTGGAAATTGGATAAAAAAACCTATGTCCCAGGTTCTGCAGCCTCTGATTCTGCTCTGGGAAGTCAACACATTGTCCTGTCTCAATGAGTCTAAATATGTTCAGGGTCCTGGAGAGATTGGGACATCCCCCCCACCCAGTTCCTGACATCCTGCCCTCATAGCCGAGGCTTCTCAAAGTAAAGTGGCTCCACCCAATCAGTCAGCATTTAATACAATAGAACATTTTGTGCTCATCAAGTCCCTATGCAGTCTGTCCTCAGTCTGCCTCTCCAGCCTCAGGACAAAGAAACCCCTCAATCATATGCCCCCCAGAGCAGAAATCGGCCTTTCCCAGCTGCATTGTGCTCTCAAGCCTATGACTATTCAGCCTCCTGATACTTTTTTCTGAGTCTTATCTGTGCTTCTCCTCCCATTTATATTTCCACCTCTTCATCTGGCATTCAAAATTGAAATTGAAATTATTTGTCATCTGCAAATAATGACAGTTTGACTATAGCTAAGACTTCCAGTACTATGTTGAACAAGAGTAGCAAAAGTGGGCATCCCTATCTTGAATAGGAACTAGTGTTAGCTATAGTGATTGGATAAGAAGAACAAGTAAAAGGCATCCAAATTGGAAAGGAGAAAATCAAACTGTCATCATTTGCAGATGACATGATATTGTACATAGAAAACCCTAAAGATTCCATCAACATACTACTAGATTTAATAAATGAATATGGCAACTTAGTGAGCAAATAAAATTAACGCAGAAGTCAATGCCATTTTTATACCTCAATAAGAAACTCAAAAAAGAAATTCAAAACAAAAATCCCTTTTACTCTTACAAGGAAAAAATTAAGATATTTAGGAATGAATTTTACTAAGGTGGAAAAAGACCTGTACTCAGAAAACTATAGGACATTGAAAAGAGAGAGGAAGGTATAACTAAGTGGAAGAATATACCTTGATCGTGGACTGGTAGAATCAATATAATTAAAATGTCCATAGTACTCAAAACAATTTATAAGTTCAACGTAATCTCTATTAAAATACCAATGATATGTTTTACAGATCTAGAACAAACACTCATAGAACTTATATGGAACCAAAAAAATATCCCTGAATAGCACAGCCATCTTGAGAAAGAACAAAGTTGGAGGAGTCACAATACCAGATGTAAAGTTATACTACAAAGCCACTGTGCTCACGGCAGCCTGGATCTGGCACAAGAACAGGCAGTTCTGTTTCTGTTCTGTTTCATATAGACCAATGAAGCAGAACAGAGACTCCAGAAATTTACCGAAGCCACTATGCTCTGTTAGTATTTGAAAAAGGAGGCAAGAGCATACAATAAAGATAGTCTCTTCAATAAATGGTGTTGGGAAAATTAGACAGATACATGCAAAAAATTAAACTAGATGACCAATTTACACCTTACAGAAGAATAAACTCAAAATGGGTAAAAGATTTAAATGTAAGAGGTGAAACCATTAAAATTTTAAGAGAAACAATAGGCAGCAAAATCTCCGACATCTTTCATAGCAACCTTTTTACCAATATATCTCCTAGGACAATGGAAATTAAGGAGAAAATAAATAAATGGGCCTATGTCAAAATAAAAAGCTTCTGCACAGAAAAAGAAGCATCAACAAAATGACAAGAGAGCCCATGGGGAACAGATTTGCCAATAATACATTTGATAAGGGGTTAATCTCCAAAATATAAAAGAATCTCATACAACTTAACAAAAGGAAGACAAAAAATCCAATAAAAAAATGGGCAAAAGACCTAAATAGATAGTTCTACAAAGTGGACCTACAGATGGCCAAGAGATGTAGAAAAAAATGCTCAAAGTCACTAATCATCCAAGAGAAGCAAATCAAAATGACAATGAGCTATCACCTCACACCTGTCAGAATGGTTATCATCAACAAACGACAAGTGTTGGCAAGGATGTGGAGAAAAGGGAACCCTTGTACACTGCTAGTGGGAATGCAGATTGGTACATCCGCTGTGGCAAATGGTATGGAGATTCCTCAAAAAATTAAAAATGGAACTCCCATTTGACCCAGTAATCTTACTTCTAGGAATATACCTTAAGAAATCAGAAACACTAATTAGAAAGAATATATGCACCTCTCTGTTCATAGCAGTTTTATTTACAATAGCTAAGATATGGAAATAGCCCAACTGCCTATCAGAAGATGAGCGGATAAAAAAAAAAAACTGGTACACTTACATGGCCAAGAGATGTAGAAAAAAATGCTCAAAGTCACTAATCATCCAAGAGAAGCAAATCAAAATGACAATGAGCTATCACCTCACAACTGTCAGAAGGGATACCATCAACAAATGACAAGTGTTGGCAAAGATGTGGAGAAAAGGGAACCCTTGTACACTGGTAGTGGGAATCCAGATTGGTACATCCGCTGTGGCAAATGGTATGGAGATTCCTCAAATAATTAAAAATGGAACTCCCATTTGACCCAGTGATCTTACTTCTAAGAATATACCTTAAGAAATCAGGAACACTAATTAGAAAGAATATATGGACCCCTCTGTTCATAGCAGTTTGATTTACAATAGCTAAGATATGGAAATAGCCCAACTGCCTATCAGAAGATGAGTGGATAAAAAAACTTGTACACTTACACAGTGGATTACTACGCAGTTATAAAAAAAGAACGAACTCTTACCTGTTGCAACAGCATAGATGGACCTGGAAAGTATTATGCTAAAGGAAATAAGCCAGTCAGAGAAAGGTAAGTATCACTTGATCTCACTCATATGTGGAATCTAATGAACAAAATATTTTCAGAGACATAGAAAGGTGGAACAGACTGTTGGACCTCAGAGGAAGGTGGGTGAGGGTGGGTGGGTGAGAGAAAATCAACCAAACAACTTGTATGCATGGACAGACAATTGTGTGGTAAAGGCCTGGGGTGGAGGAGAGGGATGGACTAGAAGATGTCATTGGGGGAGTAAAGGGGACATATGTAATACTTTTAACAATAAAGATAAAATAAATGAAAGAAATCTCTTTGCTTTGCCAGAAATGCAGGTGAGGAGTGTTCTAAAGCCTGTTTGACCTCTGGAAAGAGTGAGCAGACTCCTTTCTTCCTTGTTCGGGAAGTACATTAGGAGAGGGCTATCCATGAGCAAGAAGGTGGGCATCCAGGCTGCAGGAGATGCTTGCCACTGTTCCTGAAGCTGCTGTGTGTGAAACTCAGGCATCCTCACACACCCGGGAGTGTGGAGTTACTATTTCTAGATCCCACTCCCCTTCCTGGTACCTAGTAGAATGGAGGTGCTCACTCAGCTAGCTTCTTGCAGGCACTGAATTCTTCCTGATCCTCACAGCTCCTACTTTGCTGCTGGCTCCCTTTCCCTGATGGTGCTCACCTTTCCTGCAGAATCAGTGACAGGCTCTGAAGCTGGCACAGAAGGCCCTGACTTACTGCTGTCCTCCGGTTGTGAGTGCAGCAGGCTGTTCCTCCCAGCACATGGGGAAGCCCTGCCTCTTAGAACTCAGGCAGGAAATACAGGGAGGGGGGCCCACGGGTGACAACTTAAAGAGACAGGAACATTCACCACTGAGGCAGTAGGATGGGCAGTTTCCACTGGGAAACACAGCTTTGAACTGCAGAGATGTTCTCAGAAGGTCCTTGTGACACCAGCACTTGTCGCCTCAGGGGCTTTAACCTCAGAGGAGAAGAGCATTTTAGGTTTGTGAGGCCATTTTCATTTCTAGCCTTGATCATGAATCTTAACTGCTTTTTGCCTTTTAGGGACTTTCCTATAAAATGGCCTCGTGAGAGCCTCCTTCCCTGGGACCGTGTCACCAGGGTGGTCCTGGTACCAGGAATCACCTGCAAATTCTCCTGGTTCGCAAAGGAAAGGAAGGCCTTTCCACTATTAAAAATGGGAGAATAGGGAGAGGATGAAAACTGCCCTGAGGGCTTACTCTACCCATCTCTGTAGATCTCTCCCACCAGAGGGTCATGAGAAAGGTGAAGAAAATAGCTAGTCACTACATGGAGTGTTGAGGCTATGATAGAATTATGCTGTTAGGAAGTTACACTTAATGTGACGCTGATGGGCTGGGGTCTGATTTTCACTGATTTTTGCAAGCTCCTTATCTCTAGTAAAATTCAACTCCCACTGAACTCCAACTGATTTTTCAATATCGGCTTTATTGAGATATAATTGACATGTAACATTGTGTTGATTTGGCTCATTTATATATTTGCAAAAATTATCACTGTTATCATGTTTGCTTACACTTGCACCATGTCCCATAATAACTATTTCTCTCTGTCCTGAGAATGTTATAGGCACCTCTCACTGACATCAGAGAGGTGTTACCGGATAGCCCCCGAGTCAGTAATTTATATGAGAGATTTTAACTACATTGTGAAAAGCCAATTTATTAAAGCATGCACCTTTATTAAAGAAGCAAAGCAAACAAACCTATACATCTGGTTTATGAAGCACAGAAGGGCTCTCAAATAATCTGGAGAGCAAGTTAGGTAGAGGTCTAAGACATTAATGATACCCTTCTGTGTATAGGTCTCAAAATTCCTCTGCTGAATATTTTGGTACAAATTAATTGTCAAGGTCCTTTAAAATTTTTTGTTGTTGTGGCCTTCCCAAAATTCAGGAGAAGCACCTGGCAACTTTATCTTGCCAAGCCTTTGAGACTGCAGGCTTCTTTGCTTAGGGAGTAAAATGGCCCTTTCCCCCTTTCCTTTTTCCCAGTCCCTTACTACATTCTCTCACAGGGGAGGTTTTTTAACCATTTTCTGTGTCCTTGGGTGGGGAAGATAATGGTTTGTTAGTTAGAAGGTGGATATAAGTTGCCAACACTGTTTGGCCTTGTTTTAACTTTCCTGTATCAGTTTCCTATTCCTCCTGCCCTGGAATCCTATAACATTCCCCCCACCCCCTGAGACTTCCATACCTAGAATCTTTCTGGGTTGATGAGGGAGGAAGATCATCTTCCTTAACTACTTCATGCTGTTAAGGGATGCTGACCCTGCCTCATTAGGGTATGGAAGCCTCTTCTGTCTGATCTCAAGAAGACATGGGAATGGCATTTGAGACTGGCCATTTGTCGATTTTTCTAAAGTAGGGAAGGGCTGGAATTCTTGAAGCAACATTATCTTGACATGGAGTTGTTGTTTCCTAGAAGTTACAAATTTGACAAGATGTTTCTGGACAATTATATTAGTGCCCAGCCATTATATTACTTATCTGTAACAGGTTTTTGTTTCATGAAGAAGAGCTTGAGGCCCTAGCTGATTTGGCTTATTGCAGTGGTCGGCAAACTGCAGCTTGCGAGCCATATGCGACTCTTTGGCCCCTTGAGTGTGGCTATTAGGCCAGCTTAAGAGTACCCTAATTAAGTTAATAACAATATACCTATTTATATAGTTTAAGTTTTAAAAATTTGGCTCTCAAAAGAAATTTTGATCATAGTACTGTTGATATCTGGCTCTGTTGACTAATGAATTTGCTGACTATTGGCTTAGTGGATAGAGTGTCAGTATGTGTTGATCAAAGAATCCTGGGTTAGATTCTGGTCAAGGGCTCATACCTTGGTTTCAGGCTCCTCCCTGGCCCAGCCCTGGTCAGGGCATGTGCAGGAGGCAATCAATCGATGTCTTTCTCTCACATTCATGTTTCTCTCTGTTTTTCCCTCTTTCTTCCACTCTCCATAAAAATCAATAAAAAAATATCTTCCATTGAGGATTAACCCCTCCCCCCCAAAAAAGAGCAGCTTGAGATCCTCGATGGGTTCATAAGATCAGGTCCCAGGTTGAGGTTCCTGTGGGAATTTATAAAAAGCAGATTTAATTTGAGAGAAGTAACGCTGTAACTTTCCCTTTAGTGTCGTTTTTATTTTCATGAGACCTATGGGTAACGCAGACATCTAGTATTTTGAGGTTTTTGTCATAGTTTAGCTAGAGTCTTTTTTCCTTAGCAAATTTTACATTGGTCTTGGCAGTGATTGTTTCAATTTGACACCAAAAGCAAAAGTAAATAAGTGGGACTACTTATAACAAGGACACCTACTACACAAGCCACTCTACCAATGGCCTTTTACAAAGAAAAACTTTGTGTGGGTCTAGTGGTTTCTTTCCTTTTGTTCTTATTTGTTTTATTTGATATACCTAATTAGGGTTCTGAGTTAGGATTGTATCTCCCCCTGGACTGTATATGTGATATTGACTATGATGACCAGTTATTTTATTAGCATAAGCCCTTATATTTTCTATTTTGTGTTATTTTTCATCTATAGTGTAGCAGTGTAAGAGAACAATTTGTAAATTTCTCTGTTAAATTATAAGTCAATATAAAGTGACTAAAACATGCTTGAATTCGCTAGAGTTCTCAGAAAACCAACCAACTTTTTCTTTGTAAAGGGCCATTGGTAGAGTGCCTTGTGTAGTAGGTGTCCTTGTTATAAATAGTCCCACTTATTTACTTTTGCTTTTGGTGTCAAATTCAAACAATCACTGCCAAGACCAACGTAAAAAAGCTTACCCCCTTTATCTTTCCTTCTAGTAATTTTATGGTTTTGGGCCATATGTTCAAGACTTAATCCATTTGGAGTTGATTTTTGTGTATGGTGTCAGATTGGAGTCCAATGTCATTATTTTGCACATGGCTATTTTAATTTTGTTATAAATTAATTGACCACTTATTTCTGGGGTTTCTGTTTTGTTCTTTTCTTCTATTGATATGTGTGTCAGTTTTTATGGCAATGCCACACTGTTTTAATTAGTACAGGTTTGTAATATAGTTTGAAATTAGCTTGTGTGATGTCTCCATCATTGTTATTCTTTCTTAATTGATTCAGAATTTTTGTGTCTCTATAGAAATTTTAGGATTTTTTTTCAATTTCTGTGAAAAAATGCCATTGGAATTTTTTTTTTTTTCAATCCTCAACCGAGGATATTTCCCCCCATTCATTTTTAGAGAGAGTGGAAGGGAAGGGAAGAGACACACAGAAAGAAACATCAATGTGAAAGAGACATATAAATTTGTTGCCTCCTGAGCACTCCCCAACTGAGGAGAGAAGAAGAACTTGAAATTGAGGTAAGTGACCTTGACTGGAATGGAACCTGCAACCTTTCAGCCCATAGGCTGACACTCTAACCATTGGGCTAAGAAGCTAGGGTGCCATTGTAATTTTGGTAGGAATTGTGTTGAATCTGTAGATCACTTATTGTAGTATGAAAATTTAAAAAATATTAATTCTCCCAATCCATAAGAACAAAATATCTTCCCATTTATTTGTTTCTTCTTCAAGTTCTTACATAATTATTTTATAGTTTTCAATATATAAGTCTTTCAACTCTTTGATTAAATTTACTCCTATTTATTGTATTCTTTCTGATGTTACTAGAGGCCTGGTGCACGAATTTATGCAGGGATGGGATCTTTTGGCTTGGCCTGTTTGGATTGGGCTGAAACTGGCCATCTAATGCCACCTGCCATTCCTGCCTGCCACTCCTGCTCATTCTGGCCCTGTTGCGCCTGCCACAGGCTCACACCCAGTCAGTCTTGATCTGGAGAGGCTAATGCTGCTGCAGTGATGTTCACCAGCTGTGTTCCCAACATTTGGCACCTGACAGGAAGGCAGTGGGAGAGGAGTCAAGATGTCATCAGCCCTCCAGGCAGGTGGTGGGTGCCCTTGCCAGCCTGGGATTCAGATCCATCCTGGTGATGTTTGCACCAGTTGTCAGGACCCACCGGGTAGTTGCTTTTATATTGTTTCTTCCTTGAGGAGTGTCTAGGGAGGGACGCAGACATGGTGCCAAGGCCGACTTCCAGGAGGCTGGAAGTGCTGTTAGGATCGTGCTGGCAGTGCCTGTCTGTCTGTGCCTGGCCCTTTCTCCAGAGATTGAACCTGCAGGACTACTGAGTGGCTGCTCCAGACTGGTGGGCCACCTGGACGGGTTGGTTAGCTGAGAAGCATTCTCACTGTGGGAGTGCACTGATCACCAGGGGGCAGCTTCTGTGTTGAGCGTCTTTCCTCTGGTAGTTAGTGTGCATCATAGCAATCGCTCGAATGGTCATTCAGTAATTTTGTCACTTAAGCTTTTATATGTATCCTATATAATAAAGAGGTAATATGGCCGAAACCAGTTTGGCTCAGTGGATAGAGGACAGCCTGTGGACTGAAAGGTCCCAGGTTTGATTCCAGTCAAGGGCTTGTACCTTAGTTGAGGGCACATCTCCAGTGAGGGGTGTGCAGGAGGCAGCTGATCGATGTTTCTCTCTCATGGATATTTCTAGCTCTCTCTTCCTCTATGTAAAGAATTAATAAACTATATTTTTTTTAAAGGAGAGGTAATATGCAAACTGACCCCTACACTCTTGCTAAGGTGGCTGCCCCCATATGGTCACAAGATGGCTGGCAGATTGTGGTCAATCAGGCCAGCAGGGGAGGGCAGTTGTGGGTGACCAGGCTTTCAGAGGAGGGCAGTTGGGGGCAATCAGGCC